AGTGCTTCACCACCCTCCTAGTGAATTTTTTTTTCCTAATATCCAACCTAAACCTCCCCAACTGCAACTTGAGACCATTACTCCTTGTTCTGTCATCTGGTACCACTGAGAACAGTCTTCCATCCTCTTTGGAACCCCCTTTCAGGTAGTTGAAGGCAGCTATCAAATCCCCCCCCATTCTTCTCTTCTGCAGACTAAATAATCCCAATTCCCTCCAGCCCCCTAATCATTTTGGTTGCCCTCTGTTGGACTCTTTCCAATTTTTCCACATCCTTCTTGTAGTGTGGGACCCAAAACTGGACACAGTACTCCAGATGAGGCCTCACCAATGTCGAACAGAGGGGAATGATCACGTCCCTCAATCTGCTGACAATGCTCTTACTTATACAGCCCAAAATGCCGGTAGCCTTCTTGGCAACAAGGGCACACTGTTGACTCATATCCAGCTTCTCATCCACTGTAACCCCTAGGTCCTTTTCTGCAGAACTGCTGCCTAGCCATTCGGTCCCTAGTCTGTAACAGTGCCTGGGATTCTTCCATCCTCAGTGCAGGACTCTGCACTTGTCCTTGTTGAATCTCAGCAGGTTTCTTTTGGCCCAATCCTCTAATTTGTCTAGGTCCCTCTGTATCCTATCCCTACCCTCCAGCGTATCTACCACTCCTCCCAGTTTAGTGTCATCTGCAAACTTGCTGAGGGTGCAGTCCACTCCATCCTCCAGATCATTAATGAAGATATTGAACAAAACCAGCCCCAGGACCGACCCTTGGGGCACTCCACTTGAAACCGGCTGCCAACTAGACATGGAGCCATTGATCACTACCCGTTGAGCCCGATGATCTTGCCAGCTTTCTATCCACCTTATAGTCCATTCATCCAGCCCATACTTCTTTAACTTGCCAGCAAGAATACTGTGGGAGACCGTATCAAAAGCTTTGCTAAAGTCAAGGAATAACACAGGAGAAAAAAAACACTTGGGAGAAAATAATCTCTTTGCCAAACAGACTGCACTTTTACCTACTAGGACCAAGTAGTAATTTTATGTAATATTTTTCTCAGTGATATGCCTGGCAATGACTTCCTTGACTAGGGATAAGACGCTGCTATTGGGGCAGAGCAGGAGATGTGAGGTGTTTGTGTCACTAAACTGTCTGTGGTGGTATGAATGAGCCGTTAACTGGCTGAAACCGACCCATATTAATAGAGGCTCCAAAAAGACAATGGGGAACCCAAGGACTGAACAATGGACACCTAACAAAGGGAAACTCGGGCAGGTGAGGAATGGGGCTGAGGGGAAGGGCCTGAGGGCAGGTGGGGGGAGGACTGAGGGGCAAGGGGCAGGTGGGGGGCTGAGGGGAAGGGGATGCGGGCAGATAAGGGAGGCGCTAAGAAGCAAGGGGGGCTGAGGGGCAAGCAAGGGGGGCTGTAGGTGACAGGGGAAGGGGGTGAGAGAGGAGACGAGAGGGGGCTGAGAGGCGTGATAACAACGCTTAGTTCTTTCCCGCCTTGTTTCCGTCGTCTCCTCTGCGCGTGCGCAGCTGGGAGAGCCCGACAGCCGCAGCGCGAGGCTGGAGCAGAGGGGGTGGGACGGTACTGAGCAGAGCACGCGCGGGGATCTCCCGCCCCTCCCGTCCGCTGGCAACGGCAACTGGAAGGAGAGAGGGAGGAGCTAAATCCTGATTGGGGTCTAGGGCAGGAGGGCACTGGGGGCAGTACGGGAGGGGCTAGGGCAGGAGGGCACTGGGGGC